GGGGGGAGGAAGTAAGGAAGGAAGGGGGGAGGAAGGAAGGAAGGGAGGGAGGGAGGGACAGGGAGTGGTGTGGGGGTGTGATCAGCATAAGAAAGGGGGAGGAAGGAAGGGAGGAGGGACAGGCAATGGTGTGGGGCAGGCCATGGGAGGGGGTGGTGGGAGGGGGACTGATGGAGGGGGAGATAGTAGTCATTGCGTTGTCGTCGTTGCGTGGTCATCATCGCGTTGCGTGCTCGTCGTTGCGTTGTCGTCGTTGCGTGGTCATCGTTGCGTTGTCGTCGTTGCGTGGTCGTCGTTGCGTTGTCATCGTTGCGTTGTCGTCGTTGCGTGGTCGTCGTTGCGTTGTCATCGTCGTGTGTCGGCGTCGCGTTGTCGTCATCGCGTTGTCGTCGTTGCGTTGTCGTCGTTGCGTGTCGTGGACGTCGTTGTTGCCGTGGACGTCGTTGTTGTCGTTGTCATCGTGCCGTGGGGGGCTTGTTTGGTTTGTGACGTGGCGTTGCGGCGTTTGTGTGGTCGTCGTGGTTAGTGCTCGTGGATGGTGGTGGGTGCTCGTGGATAGTGGTGGTGTTGTTGTTGTTGTCCGTTTGGCTGCCACATCACTGGTGGTGGTCGTCGCCGTTCGTTGCTGGGTGGTCGTCGCCGTCGTGGGGTCATGTGGGGTCATCGTCGTCGTCGTCGTCGTCGTCGTCGTGGGTGGCGTGGCGTGGCGTTGTCGGTTTGTCGTGGCTGTCGTGGGGGTGGGGGAGAGGATGGTTGTTGGTGGTGGAAAGGAATGGTGTTGCATTTGTTTGGTAACGTTGCCTTTGTTTGGTAACAGAAGTAAAACAAACAAACAATTGACCGGATTCTGTTGCATTCCGTTCCTGCCATTCCTGCGGAACATTCCGGTGTCAATTCCGGAATGCCGAAATTCCGCCGGAATGGTAAGGCACCGGAATTATGAAAATAGCAGGCCTCCCTGCCAAATTTCATTCCTCCGGAATCCGCAGGAATGACCGGATTCCTGCAGGAATTAGGGGGGCACTGATAAGACCTCGGATTTTGACATGGAAAAAACATATGTGGATGCTCTTTTGGCAAGAGAAACATACACAGGGTACAGGAAAACATACCAGTCATCAATACTGATCCAGAATGTACCATTTCTAAGAATTTTATATTGTAAAACATATCTAAGCTATATTTAGATTTGTTATATATCACAAACATGTTGGATCCAAAAATATCAAACATTAGCATACTATTTTTGATTTTTCTATCATATCTGATGCCAGATATTGATATTTCACCCAAAAAAACCAAAAATTTCCCCCCTGGGGTGAAAATTTAAAAGGTGAGCAGAATGCAAGCGAAAGTAGGCAAAGGACATTGCACATCAATTGGCAAATGGTGTGCAAGGCAATTGCACACCTCGTAGGGCTAGGACTACATCTATGGCTGCACCATTGGGGAGCTATCGTTTCTCAAGAAATACAAGAAAGACCTAGTGGATAGTCCTTCAGAAGACCAGCTACATAGGTTGGTGCATCTCGATGTGTCGCCTGATTCAGATGCGATGTTCAGGGATTGATCGTCAGACAATGAAAAAAGGGTTTATTCAAGTGATTTAGAACTAGAAGAGGGGGGGGGGAGGCCTCGTCTAGATTTTCATCTAGAAGAGGGTGCTCAATGACAAGCGGAGTTGAAGTTTGACAGATTGTGACCCATTCAGAAAATCTCAAATTTGGAAAATCCGGCTGTCTGGCATCTGGCGTCTGGCTGTCTGGCATTTTCCGTCACCATCCATCAGCCTTTTGTTGATTCATCACAGCCTCACCAGCATCCATGCAATATCCACACTCAACAACACCATCTAGGGTATGTTCCGCTCCTCTTCAGTCAGGTATGTCATACTCCTTCTACCTTCATCACTGCTGCTAACAACCATCCTCTCCAGCTTGAGCCTATGCTTACCAAATCTCCTCTCCACGCACATCACTATCGCTATCCGACATTCCTTCAAAATGTAGCCCGGTCCTACGCTGTCCAACTTAGTTGCTTTTCTGTTTGGTAGATATGGATTCTTTGGACGGTATAACCTGCCGGTGTGGTCGCTTCGCCCCTTACAAGCCATGTCAAAGCGATGCCAACGGTAATAAAGGTCGTCCCATTGCCATAGTAAGTTTACTAGTAACAATATTACAGCTTATTCACGATGCTAATGATAAACAATTAGTGTCAAGGCCCCAACTCTAAAGGTGAGAGGTGCAACACATTCTGCTGGACAAAGGGGTATTCCAAATCACTGTCATTCTTGCCCCCCGTCACCACACCACCTTCGTTTCCTGCACCGTTACAGGCTTTCAGGTCCACTGGATTCCTCTCTGCCCTGTACTTGTCATCTCTGCCTCCCACTACTGCACCAGCACCTTCATTTCCTCTGCCATCACAGGCTTCCAGGTCTACTGCATCCTTCCCTGCCACCTTATAAGCAATACTTTACCCTCCCCGGGTTATTCCATATGGACTGGATGGATTCCATACTTCCCCCAGGTGGATTCCATACTTTTTCCATCTGGAATCCAGATGGAATGACCTTATGGAATCATAATTCCAGACTTACCTAAGTCCACATCAGTTCTACAGTTAGTTTTACACTTATTCCATACTAATAACTGAACAGGGAGAATTTAAAACAGTGTTGGATTCTAAGGGGTTATTAACCTCCAGAATTTTGGCTAAGGCTTAGGTCTTAGTTACAGGCCTTAATTAAGACTTGGTTCTAAGGGGTTATTAAGGCTCTGCCTAAAAATATATTATTTTGTCAGTCCTTCAAAGTCATCACCTAGGCCCTCTAATTTTCCTATCATCTGGTACATATTCTCTTCTCATCTGCCTCCTCATCTGCCAAAAAGTCATCAATGGGGCTTCCTCCATGTATGACTGCCACCTCTGATTTTGTGTCATCTGTACTGTCCACCAATACTTATCAGTTTATTTTCAGCAATGACAGTGTGCAAGAATGTGGACCTGGTTCTGCTGGGTACCAGTGATAAAGTGGTTTTGCCTCACCTGCAGCCTGCTCATCAATATCATATTTTTTTGGCCATGAAAAGAAAAGTATGAATGGATAGGGGACCATTTTGCTTGGTACTGGGGATAACATGTTTCCAAGTTTGGCTGGGGCAAGGTTGGAAGTGGAGTAGATTTGCAATTTGTCCATCTGATTCATTCCACATAGTAGTAGTCATATTCTCTTGGCACACATTTCTAAGGCTTATTTAAGACCTATTGAAAACTATGAATGATGCTAACCCTTAGCCTTAGAATGATTTTAAGCCTTAAACCTTATTAACCCCTAAGCCTTAAGTTCAACACTGATTTAAAATGTATTGAATAGGATTACATATATTTATTTTACTACATTAAATATTGAAGGGAGAAGTGATTGAAAGGAGTGTGTGTGGTGAAGAGTGAGGGGGGGGAGGAGAGTGGTGGGGATTGATGAAGGGAGGGGGGACAGTGAGGGAGAGGGAGTTATTGGAGGTGAGCCAATGAGGGGGGGAGGGAGTAGGGTGGAATGATGGAGGGAGGGGGAGCTCACCTGGGCTCGTCCTTGCCCGTGTCCGTTCATGTTCGTGGGCGGTCATCTTCATTTCGTGGGCGTCCGTTTTCATTGGTGGGTGGTTGTCGTCGTTCGTGGGCGCTCGCGTTGGTGGGTCTTATGGGCGGTTGTCATCTTCGTCTGCTGGGCATTCGTTTTCGTATGTGTACGGTTGTCTCATGGTTGCTCCTGGGCGCTGCGGCTCGTTTGGCTGGGTGTACATCAGTGGTAGGTGGGCGGGCTCGTCTGTTGTCGTGTCATGGGCGTTCAGGGTCCTTCGGGGTCGTTTGTGGGAGGTGGGGGTTGTGCAGGGCAGTGTGCGTCATCCATGGGTGGGCGGGCTCGTTGGTTGTCATGTCGTGGGTGTTCGGTGTCGTGTCTGGGCGCTCGTTTTGTTTCATGGGCGCTCGTGGGCAGTGGGGGTCGTATGGGGCCATGTCCGTCGTTTGTAGGTGGGTGGGCTCATTGGTTGTCGTGTCCGTTCGTCGTCCGGTTGCCACATCGCTGACCACAACGTGGCACCTGGTTTGTTGTTGTCAAAAGATGGCCTGGGGGGGTTACCCAGTCAGCTTACCTGGGCTGGAGTCGAGGTGGAACGTCCATTGACATTCTGTGTCATCGTCGTCGCCTCCCATCCATGTGACGTGGCGTTGCCACGTCGTGTGGCTCTTGTAGTGGCAGGGTGGTCGTTGATGAAGTTGCATGTTGTCGTGCATTGTCAGTGTGGTGGTGGTGGTGGTGGTGGTCGATGTCGATGTCGATGTCGCGGGTGGTCGTGGCTTGAGATGGTGGTGGATGGTGATGGTGGTGGTGGAAGGAAGAAACGATGTGGAAACGCGTCAGCCACAGCTGTCACGTTTGAGACACCACGTGATGGAAAGCGGTATATACATACTTTTACTTTGTCATGCAATAATGCCTTCGTGGCTCAGTTGGCTTGAGCACTGCTAATATTGATGAGGTTGAGAGTTCAATTCCCTTAAATGTAAAAATTATATTTTACTTAAATATAGTAAGGACACTATAAATACTGTATTCTAATGGTATAATGGTCATCCATGGAATCCATGTAAATTCCATATGGAATTAATCATTCCATGGCCATTCCATCATCATTCCATGGCCATTCCATCATCATTCCACATGGATTCCATGTTGTCCATGGAAGAAGAAAATGGCTGGGTCCTCAGCCAACATTGATTCCATACGGAATAACCTGGGGAAGGTAAAGACCTCCCTCACAAGCCATCGGCGAAAGTGTCTTTGCGACTAGCGCCCCTACAGGAAAACCCCTCTGCCCAATAAGTGGATGTGGGCAGTCACGTATTGCGCCTGATTGCGGGCGTTGTTTTCGTCGCAAGCATTGCATCACCAAGGGTGGCTGTGGTTCCAAGACCCATACCGGTGCCCTTTCTTCATCTGCGCCTACATGCCCAGACCTGATTCCTGTTCAAAAGTAAGTTTGCCTTGCTTCTCTTCATCTCTCGCCTCTTTCCTGGCTATCCGACGACTTAGCGACTCGTGCCAGGATGCGGTTGTTGTTCATTCTCACTCAAACATTATGCTAACCTGTTTTACTCCCTAGTTTAATGGACCATCCCCCTCAACTGAGTGGCTATCGCCCTGCCTCTCCCTTGCTCACTGAACCTTTTTCATCAACGGTTGGTGCTGGTGATGTGCCGCTCTTTCCAGCGGTACCTTCAGCTTCCCCTTCAATTGACCCTGAGACCCTCGATGCATGGCCAAATCCACGCTTCAACTCCCACATGCCACCAATCTTCACAGCACAATGGAAACGAGAACAGGAGATGGAAGTGGAGAGGAAGAGAATGGAATCAGAGAGGAAGATCCATGCAGTGCAGGTCAAGCACTCCGTCACTGTTTACGCATGGGCTGAGGACTCGAAACCCCCTGCTATCCAGGATTTCCAAGAAGGCCTGTTCACCTGGCCATATTTTCCTCTTTCCCCATCAGTTCTATCAGCATTGTCTCTGGCCGGACCAGATATACATGTCCAGCTTTATCGCAAAGCCCTCGGCACCTGGGTCACCATCAGCCCTGGCCACATCATCAAGCTACAAGAACACACCAGGGTTTTTTTGAAAGCAAGCCATGTTATCGACTATGCAGATTTCGACAAGCTTTTGAACCCTGAGTCAACTTCTGCCCCACATCTCCGCTACAATCTTAAAGGAGAGCGAGATGAGCTTCGTGAACGCTATAAGAAGGCATCACAAAAGGGAAAAGCACCAAGAACTGAGGAGGTTGTATCATTGGAGGATGAGGATTCAAATGACAAGATCAACAAGCCTGTCGCTCCTTCAAGGCATTATTTCCACAAGCAGAACCTTGCTGCATCAGCTTTCCAATCTGCCTCTCCTTCTACCACAGCTAGGTCACCTGCCTCCGACATTGTCGAGATTTCGGACAACGTGTCATCAGCAACTCAGCAGCTTTCAAGGAAGAGGAAGCTCTCACGGCAATGCTCGCCTTCAGCCCCAAAGTGTGCAAAGAGTCACAGTGCTTCAGTCATTGAACTGAGTGATGACTTGGATTCCCCTTTGCCACTGGCCATCAAAGTTGAGCAATCCAGTGGTGACGCTGAAGCTCCTCTTCAATGGCCCACTGACTTTCACGCTGTCGACATTGTTGACTTCTTTGAGACCTGTCGCAAGAACACCGATATCCAACTCAAGATTCTCTTCCATCGACACTTTCCCAACAACCCCTACCACCGCTCAACTGTCAATGAGAACTGTAATCGTTGGCTCAAGGCCCCCCAGTCTCTTTGCGACACATTTTTGAAGGTGATTCGTGAAGCACACTGATGAAGGTAAATGGTCTGCCTTTCAAAAGCAGACTCGTAAAGGTAGCCAAGGTTTAGCTCGTCGTCGTTAGGTCTATTACATCGTAAATATCCTTTTCGTTTTGTTGTCCACCTTGGCATTTGTATATCAGTTTGACTCATTGTTGTTAGCTCTATTACATTGTAGATATCCTTTTCGTTTTGTTGTCCACCTCGTTGTTTGTATATCATAGAAGCATAGTCTTGTATATGTAGCATAGTCTTGTATATGTATCATAGACGATAGCAGCCTCATCCAATGTTTGTATACTACCAAGAAATCAATGTTCATCTACAAGCGATACAAAATTTCCTGCTACTCTAAAGGGTTGGCCAGTTCTGGGGCTTGTCATTAGACAGTTGCAACTTCCTGTATGTCATACGGTTGCGTCACAAGATCATCTCATCTAAGAAGAAATTGTACTTATCCACCAACATCTCCTGACACATGGAATGATATCCACCCAACCACACGTTTGTCTGTTCAGCAATTGAGGAGTTAAAGTACCAGCCATTGTTGCCTAATCCCTCAAGCTCCAGGAACTTGGCAGGATTGCAATTTTCTTGACAAAATGTGTCTGTTAATTTGTGCTTGCTCTTAAAATGGAAGACGTCAATGAAAGCCCAACATTTGCGAAGTCAGGATCATTTTTGATGAGCTTGGCAAGTTGACAATTATTGTCGAAGAAAATGTGATCAGGCATTGTTCCTTGTACACGGTAGGTCCTCTTTATCATCTCCTTCAAAAACAGATGAGGTAAAAATGAAATGAATTGGGGAAGACTTACAACAACACTGGATATGGCTTCAGCTCCGAAGAAAGTTTCCCACGCCATTATCATACCACACGGGGTGACGATAATTTGCTCATTGTGGGTTTGCTTGCGACCGAACTGTGCCCGGATCTTCTTCTTCTGCAAACCTGCCACACCCAATGTATGGCTTACATGTGATGGTGTGGTCTGCCCAGTCAGCAGCTCAAATTCTTCGTCATCATCGACATCCGCAAGCTCTGAGAGGCTTGTGACTTCCTCCACAAGTGAATCATTGGGATGTGCGACACATGCCCGTGCTAGGCGCTCTTGCAGTTGGAATCGGGATTGTCCTCACTTGATGTGGACCTTCTCGACAGCTTGATGGTCTTTGTTGGTGCAGGTCCTTGTGTCCAGGACCACAGGGTCAGAACATCCAATAATAGCACAGACCCCAGCTGCATCTTGATGGTCTTCACAATATCAATCATGATTGCTCAAAAGAGGAGTGTGGCAGTTGTGGCAGGCACAGCACAGATGGCCAACTGTAACGCCGTCAATAACTACAACAGAGACTTTGCATAGGCCTGTGATTAAAAATAGGTTTGCTATGATTGACAGAAAAATAAAGAACATACCATCTGTTGTGAAGTGCATACATTTATTACAATAGCGCCTTATTTCAGGCTGGCTGTAAAGGCGCATGCGACGGTTTCATGACTGCATTGCTGTCTTGTACCGATCCTGATCAAGGCCTGTGTGCGGCACAGACAGAGTTTCATTCTGTGGAGAAAGATCCTCAAGAAGACAGAGGATGGCAAAGCCATTCCAGACATGGTCCAAGTCTAAAGTAAATCCAAACTGCCATCCTGGAGGTGGTTGCTGGTTGCAAGAGAGGGCAGTGTTGTAGAATCGTGTGCAGTTTGTTGCAGAAGTCCATGAAACGACCATTAATGTTACCCACAACTCAACTACCTTGTGCTCAACAAATTGGTGCTCGCCGACTTGGATTACATCTGGTATACCCCCATAATATACCCGCTTACCCTGATGAACATGGAAATTACTGTGGTAATTTACTTTACATTCTTCAATGTTTCCAGTGTGAGTGACAGTTGTGTTTGATATTAAAAGAAAAAACAAACTTTCACAATATAGATGGACTGACCAGACAGGGATAGGACCACTATCGAGCATGTATAGTACGGCCTGACGTTGCTCGGCCTTTTTGAGGGCAAGTCCCTTTTGGGTTCGTTGACAATTGGGGTTTATGCAATGATGTTGGAGTGGGTAAATCGAACGTGGCACCGTAAATAATTGATATTGAATGCAGGCTCGAGTCTCAATGAGAAAGAAATTCTTACACAGTCCATATGCATTACCATGAGCTCAGAACACATGTTCACATGCATCAAAGTTGGTGCCTTCAGGTGCAAAATCTGCTGAGTTCCAAATTGTGTCCTTCAAAATAGACCAGCAGCGCTCGGTGGTCGCCTCAGAGAATCCACAAGCAGATGCGAGGAATTTTTGAATACTTGCTGGGAGTAGATCTGGTGCAGTTGAGGGAGAAACCGGGGAAGGTTGAGGGAGTAATATATCATCTTTGAGACAAGAGGCATATGATACAAAACAGAAGAGATTTGAGAGTGTTAAAGTATTCAACGCATCAGCATTGGTCCTCAGCAGCTCAAGCAATTGTTCCAGCTCAGCCATTGCGAAGGTGCGAGGAATACTGTATATGTTCCTAACTCTTCCGAAGCGTGCACGTGATGTCAGCAATGTTTGTTTTCACGCCTAAAACAAACACCAGCCGCCAGCCACCGGACACCAGACACCTGGACACCCGGATTTTCCAAGTTCGAGATGTCCTCGAATGTTCTGGAGGGGTGAAATTGAGTCTTTCACTCAGATAATGAGCGAGTTTCGCGAACTTCGGTCGCTGCATGTCGACGGGGTAGCTTTTTTCATCTCAAGAGAAGATGTGGAAGTGGAGGGCTGCGAGAGAAGACGCCGCAACTTTCGAATGAAAGTTGAGTAGAGCTAGTTGCGTGTGATATCACTGGCTACCGACATGGCGGAGAAGAAGACAAACTTACTCGAGGGTCTGCCTAAAGCCTCCTTTGCATAAATTCTCCACCGCAACTGCTCCAAGTTCCGCGTCTCCTGACTGCCAGCGCTCTCAAAACATCTGTGCTGACGAGGTATTGAGGAAGGAGATCCACCAAGTCGAACTCTGCCTTCAAGTGACCCTGTCCCCGACACCGAGTTGGTTACAGAGTTGAAAAACGCGTGTTTGAACAAGTACATAGGGCAACATCGGTGCCTTCAGACGCTGTCGCTCGTTCGACGATGAACCGGTAACTCTAGGCGTTGACTGCGAGATATGGTGACGCCAGAAGCGTTATAAAGGCGAAAAAGAGAAAAGGTAGGTCGCATATGGGATTCTAATTTCGGCGACTGAGGGTGCTGGGACTTGACTTCACGCAGGTAAATCTGCCGTGGCTGCTACTCGAAAGATTGTCAGCCAATGCTTCTGCATCCAGAGAGTTCATTGCATACCTTGATTCCCAAGAAACCCTTGAGGGATGCTCGCTGCTCATCAGCACCTAATAGACTCCTTCAATGCTCTGAGCAGACTTCATCCCTTTTGGCGTGAACCACGTAAGTGCCAGACAGAGCCAACATGCAAGAAAGTTGAGCCCACCCCGAGCGGCGAGGAATGAGCAAGACGAAGAGATTGAGCAAGACCCGAAGATCAGGCACGTGCTTCGGGTACTCACGAGTGGGCATGGCCTGCAGTGCGCTCACCTTCCTTCACTCTCCTAGTTATCTCAGCATGAGCGGAACGAATTTCTTTGCGGGCGCTCACGGCTTTGTTGCTAGCAACAACACAATGAATGCAGCTAACACTGTGAGTGGAATGTTTTAACAAATGTCCATCAGGCAAGCTGAGGGCGTTGGATCTATTGCAGATCAACATCCACCACATTTATGGCAATACGACATGCCGAAATTTTTGCTCCGGCCCATGTCTAGAGCCACGCGGCCGTGCTCAGCATCTCAAACCCCCAGACGGTGCAGCGGTTCCCACCTCAATTGAAGCCATTCCTTTCCGTCCAAGCGCATTTGGCGACATCGTCACCGCCGCCCGACTTGCTCTCATGATTCACGAATCTCTCGGCGATAGCAGAGGGGCTCCGCATGAGCTTAACTGCTTCGTCGACGAGCTACGTTCTTTCGCCGACGCCTTGCTTTCGCTTTCCGAGATAGTTCGTGAGATTGAACTACAACCCCTTGGCCCAGTAACCATGAATATCATATACGAAGCTGCGACCTGCCTCGATTTCGTGAAGAAGGTCAGAGATGGTATCGAACCATACGAGACAGCTTTCGCGGCAGGGCGAGGTTCCTTCAGGAAAGTTTGGTACAAAGTCTGCTGGGGTGTTTTCAGGCCAAAGGAAATTACGATACTGCGGAAGAAGCTTTCTCAGCGTACACAGAAGATCGCAATCTGGGTGGGCGTATTGGGAATGTAAGCGCTGACTGCCAGTCCCTATCATCACTCACGGCACTCTAGTTTCTTGACTTCCAACTACCGCAAAACCGTCGCGGCGATCGAGACAAGAACAAATGAGCTACTCATGGTACATAAAAACATAGCTCCATCTATTTCGTACGGCGTTGGGAATACGGCGATTTTGACGGATGCATTTGGGAAGCCGATACCGTTGGCAATGGACTTTTATTGCTCGCCAGAGGTGTGCCACATAGACCTATGTCCGACTTGTACTAACATTACGCATAGGCCCTCCATAACTTCCTGATGTTCTACTTCAAGGAGAAGATTGGGCTGGAGTCTGTTGAGAGACACGAGTACAGCATTTCTACTGAGGACGGAAAGACGATCATGAAGTCTGATTCTGCGGCATGGAGATCCATTGTGAAAGAAGGTGCAGTACTCGTCATGAGTATTCTGATTAGAATACAACTGGAGTCAGGGAGTGCTAAAGACCAGAGAAACACTTGCCCACGGTGTTTTAGGACTGATGTTGGTGTGATGCGGGACCAAGGGTGGTTAGAGTGGTAAGCATGATCTGGCTATTTGAATTTTTACTCAATCATCCTGACATATACACTGGAGTCGGCGTTGTGGACGACGCTTTGGCTGGGTTAACAGGGTGGAGTATGTGCATGCATCGAAAATGCCACCAAAGAATCAAAGCATAGTTGATTTTCGGAATCTCCGAGTGATCCCAGTGCGACAGGTAATTAAAATCATTTTGGTAGGATTGATGGACAGACAGGGACTAACCTGACCTCTGCTTTCTTGTTCCCAGGTTGTATGTGAACTTGTTGATTTGACTCTCACCATGCTTCTGACCATGAGTCTTGCTTTCTTGTTTCCAGGAAGTATGTGAACTTCTTGATTTGACTCTGACCATGCTTCTGACCATGTGTCTTGCTTTCTTGTTTCCAGGAAGTATGTGAACTTCTTGATTTGACTCTGACCATGCTTCTGACCATGTGTCTTGCTTTCTTGTTTCCAGGAAGTATGTGAACTTGTTGATTTGACTCTGACCATGCTTCTGACCATGTGTCTTGCTTTCTTGTTTCCAGTGGTATGTGAACTTGTTGATTTGACTCTGACCATGCTTCTGACTATGTGTCTTGCTTTCTTGTTTCCAGTTTGTATGTGAACTTCTTGATTTGACTCTGACCATGCTTCTGACCATGTGTCTTGCTTTCTTGTTTCCAGAAAGTATGTGAACTTGTTGATTTGACTCTGACCATGCTTCTGACCATGTGTCTTGCTTTCTTGTTTCCAGAAGGTATGTGAACTTGTTGATTTGCACTCTGACCATGTGTCTTGCTTTCTTGTTTCCAGTGGGTATGTGAACTTGTTGATTTGACTCTGACTATGCTTCTGACCATGTGTCTTGCTTTCTTGTTTCCAGTTTGTATGTGAACTTCTTGATTTGACTCTGACCATGCTGCTGACCATGTGTCTTTCTTTCTTGTTTCCAGAAAGTATGTGAACTTGTTGATTTGACTCTGACCATGCTTCTGACAATGTGTCTTGCTTTCTTGTTTCCAGTATGTATGTGAACTTGTTGATTTGACTTCTGACCATGCTGTCTTGCTTTCTTGTTTCCAGTCGGTATGTGAACTTGTTAATTTGACTCTGAACTTGCTTCTGACCATGTGTCTTGCTTTCTTGTTCCAGATGGTATGTGAACTTGTTGATTTGACTCTGGCCATGCTTCTGACCATGTGTCTTGCTTTCTTGTTTCCAGGAAGTATGTGAACTTGTTGATTTGACTCTCACCATGCTTCTGACCATGTGTCTTGCTTTCTTGTTTCCAGTGGGTATGTGAACTTGTTAATTTGACTCTGACTATGCTTCTGACTATGTGTCTTCTGACCATGTGTCTTGCTTTCTCGTTTCCAGTTGTATGTGAACTTGTTGATTTGACTCTGGCCATGCTTCTGACCATGTGTCTTGCTTTCTTGTTTCCAGGAAGTATGTGAACTTCTTGATTTGACTCTGACCATGCTGCTGACCATGTGTCTTGCTTTCTTGTTTCCAGTGAGTATGTGAACTTGTTAATTTGACTCTGGCCATGCTTCTGACCATGTGTCTTGCTTTCTTGTTTCCAGGATGTATGTGAACTTGTTGATTTGACTCTGGCCATGCTTCTGACTATGAGTCTTGCTTTCTTGTTTCCAGGATGTATGTGAACTTCTTGATTTGACTCTGGCCATGCTGCTGACCATGTGTCTTGCTTTTTTGTTTCCAGTGGGTATGTGAACTTGTTAATTTGACTCTGGCCATGCTTCTGACTATGAGTCTTGCTTTCTTGTTTCCAGGATGTATGTGAACTTCTTGATTTGACTCTGACCATGCTTCTGACCATGTGTCTTGCTTTCTTGTTTCCAGAAAGTATGTGAACTTGTTGATTCATGCTTCTGACCATGTCTTGCCTTCTTGTTTCCAGGGAGTACGTGCAGTGTGTAAGTGAACTTGTATTTGACTGTAACCATGCTTCTGACCCTCTTTGTCTTGCTTTCTCATTTCTAGCATGTACATGAACTTGTTTCTTTAACTCGGACCATGCCTCTGACCATCTGTCTTGCTTTCCCATATCCAGGCTCTATGTGAACTTATATCCAGCATGTATGTGAACTTGGCTCTACATTGGTGTATTCCTATGAATACAAAATCAATAGTTAGTTGTATTCTGAAAATGTTACCTAAGTTTGAGAGCTGAACATGTTGCGTGAAGAATAGAAGATGTAGAGGGTGAATATTCCTAAAAGTGTAGAGAGTCTTGATTATCCAATGACAGTGTCACTTGATGATCGAGATGTTAGCATGTAGCTTTAACGGTCAATCAGAGTCAGTTGTTGGTGCTCAGCTTTATCAACTTACTCAAGAGATGCTGCTTAGTCCTAAGAACTTAAGTCAAGTCAAATTGGGATAAAGATAGGAATGGTGTACTTTACACTCCCACTGTTTGTCCAACGGAATCCAATGGACTTTCAGTGGTCCCAGCCATTTCTGATGGACCCAGCAGACTGTTGGTTGGAAGACCATTGGAGTCCATTGGACATGACTGGATTCTGCTGCTAGTCCAGGCAAAGTCCAGTGAAAGTCTGCTCAACCCACTTAGAAGCAATAAATGGTTGGACTGGCCAGAATTCTGTGTCCGTTGGAAGTCCAGTGTATCTGTTGGACGTCTGCTGGACTTCTGATGGACTTCCAATTGACACAGAGGCAGAAACCACTCATACTTGCTAAGTCCCCAGTCCACTGGACTTCCAATGGACTTCTGATGGACTTCTAAGCAAAAAAGATAGTGAGTGTTCAATCTACAATTTTGAGGTTTTTACACTGCCACTGCTTTTCCAAGCGGACTCCAGCCAGACTCCATCAGAATTGGGGTAATCAGAATGAATATTTTTTTGCTTTGTGAGTGCAGCAATTTTCCAATGATTTTCCCAATGCTTTTCCGGACATTTTTGGTCGGACTACTGAGTCCAACAGACTTTTCCGATGGACTTCTGATGGACTAACAGCAGACTAGCAGCCAGTCCACTGGACATGACTGGCAAACGCCAACAGAATTCCAGCAGACGAATCTAATGGAAGTCCAACGGAATTCCAGCAGACAGTTGTTATTATTATTATTATATAATGTAAAAAAATTCAACATCATGGAATTGAACCCTCAATCCCAGTGAAAACCTGCTCTGGGGGTGTCTGGAAATATCTGTGAGAAGCCAGCCTGAGCTGGACCTCCAGAAATCGTCGGCTGAAGCCAGTTTTTGTCCAATCTCCAGAAGATATCTGGCTCTCGCTGGAGGAATAGAAGGTGGTTCATTTTGGGTTTTGGTCAAATTTCCGGCTCCTTCTGGCCTTGACTGGGATATTCTGGGGTAGACCGTTGTGGGCTGGAAAAATCTATAATTATATTCTAGCTATTGTACACAATATAATCTGGTCCCTTCTGGCCTCTATCTGGTGATATCCGTGTCCTACTTGACCATACCCGCATCCCCGATCCACCCACGCTCTCAATCCTTCTACAGTAGCCGCATATCCCAGCTCCCCCATCCTGTGTTGCAAGCCGTCATCTCCTTGCAGCCTCGGTGGGAAAACACAGCCGTCCCTCTTCATGCTAAATCTCGCATAAGAATGTTTAGATTGGAGCGAAGCACGTTTGAACACACACCTGATTGCGTATGAACAACAAGTAAAAACTTGGCCGTCCAAATCCGAGGTTGTGGCACAGCACCCATCCCGACTTGAGCTAGCTTGAGAAAAGATGGTGAGT